TCCCAGGCACATGTTCGTCCTGCAGATCCCCGCTAGATGGGCCCCGAGGCCTTGCTGTCCCTGCACCGGCAGCAGGGGAATAGGGCTCCTGGCTTGCACTTGGGGTTTTGGGGAAAATGATGGCTGAATGAGAAGAGGGATCTTCCTCACTTGCAAACGGGTCTGGACCCTGCTGCAGAAATGATTTGACTCTGATTTGCACGGCAGAGTGGTGTAGAAGGGGGCAGATTGCTAAGTTAACCCTAGTGGAAGCTGCTCTTGGCAGGGGCAGGTTAGGACAAAACGGGAGGGGGCTTGGGATGAGATAATCTTTACAGATGGTTTAGGCAGGACTTTTTAGCTCCTGTCCAATTGTCTATGCTTAAGTTTGAGCTGAAGTCCCCAAAGTCTTGTGAGGTGTCTTTTCACTAATTGATGAAACAAACTTCTAGGCTTTTTTCCTTTTAAAAGAGACAAAAGATAGTTTTGTCACTTCATCAACAGAAGGCTTGGCAGGGCTTGGCAGAACACAATCCAGCCTAGTGATGCCTCAAATTTTAGCTTTTCTATTTTCCAGATTTTGTGCTGCTTTTGTGTGTAATTCTAGGCTTCATGTTAGGGGATGTTGAGCTCTTTCCACAGAAGAGGTAGACAAAACAATTCCTTCTCTAGCTGGGGACGCAAGGACAGCTGATCCAAATCTCAGGCCCAAGGGTATAAACAATGTGGGCTGAAGAGAGAAAAACAAGAAGGATGGGACTTCATGAGGCAAAGCTGTAACTGGACAATTAACTCCAATATGTAAATGAACCCAAACTTATAAAAGTTTGAGACCTCATGATCTGTCATCCATTTTGTGGCCACTTTGGGTTGTGCTGCCCAAGGTGGATCTATTTGAGACCTCTTAATAAAACCCTACTTTATTCTTTAGGGGATTCTCTGTTCTAGGTCAGCCTTCCCAAGGCATCACCAGGCTGGTTGGGTTCCTGCATCCCCAGACATCCTCCACACCCTGCATGCAGGACTTACCTCTGTAAGGCTGAGCAAGTGGTTGTTTAAGTGACCAGTGCCAGCCAAGGGTTTCCTCTGTGCCTCCAGAAAAGCAAGCCAATAGGAATGTGCCTTTTGTTTACAGAGTGATAAAATTATCTTTTGTCTCTTTAAAAAGGAAAAATGTCTAGAAGTTTGTTTCTTCAATTAGGTAAAAAGACACCTCACAAGACTTTGGGGACTTCACCTCAAACTTAAGGATAACCAATTGGACAGGAGCTAAAAAGTCCTGCCTGAGCAATTTACTAGAAAAAGAAGAGAACAAAGAAAATAATCAATTTTGTGAGGTGTTTTACCAGGAGCAAGAACCTCTTGCACACAGCTTAGTTTTTCTCTGTAAAGAGTTTTGTTATTTTACCTTTTATTAAAACTTTTCTGTTTCCAACACTACCACAGAAGCCATCCTGCTGATTTTATGCTTTCTAAGGCAGCTGAGCTATCTTGGGTGTGATTTGGATCTCCAAGAGCTTATGAGACCTGTCTTGAGGAGACCATCTATCACAAACCTGAGCACTTTTTGGGCTCACCATGATTCCCAGGAGCTCTGAGACTGGGGTGTCCTAAGTGAAACGAACCCAGCCTCAAAGGCCCTACAGCCCCAGTATCACATGGTCCAGTTGTGCACAGGTGAAATCCTGCAGTGGAGGGGCTGATGGGATGAGCAGGGAAACTTCCTTGGGAGTTGGCCAGAGCTGGCTTCTCCATCTCACCCTGCAGGATGTGATTTGGCAAATGCACATTGCCCTGGGCAGCCCGGCTGCTTCCTGGTGCAGGTGGGGATCTGGGGACAGAGCTAAACTGGAACAGGTGGGACCAGGGGACAGAGCTGAGCTGGGCACAGAACTGAGCTGGGACAAGGTAAAGGTGGGGATATGGGGACAGAGCTGGCCTGGGACACGTTGCAGGTGGGGACCTGGGGATGGAGCAGACCTGGGACACAGCACAGTGACGACCTGGGGACAGAGCTGAACTGGGGACAGAGCTGAACTGGGGACAGAGCTGAACTGGGACAGGGTGCAGGTGGGGACCTGGGGACAGAGCTGACCTGGGGACAGAGCTGAGCCTGGACACGGGTCCTCCTCTGTCAGAGACAGGGGCCAGCCCGGGCAGCCTGTCCCACCCCCAGCCCAGCCCGTGGCACGCCAAGCACTCACCCAGCTCCCCATGTGCTGGGTAAAGATGGAACAGCTGCAGGGGCCCTCAGGAGCTGGGACAGCACCCAGAGCCAGGATGGGATCTAAATTTAAACTCATGCTTTGTGTGTTTGTACATGCGAGTGCAGGCTCCAGCCCTCACTCCCCCAGCGCCTCCCCTGCTGCACGGAGGGGACAGAGCCAGAGGAGCTCCAGCTGGCTGGGACCTGGGGAAGGGGGGCTCCACTGCAGGGCAGGAGGGAAGCAGACAGCTAGGGGAGCAACACCATGGAGCCCTCTTCTCCCCAGGGTGATGTGAAGAAGAGGCAGCAGAAGGAGAAGTCCAAGAAGCCGGTACCACCCATAGCTCCTCGTCCACCCAGGGCTCTGTTCTGCCTCACCCTGGAGAACCCTCTGAGGAAGGCCTGCATCAGCATCGTGGAGTGGAAGTATCTTGTGGCTGCAGGGGCTGCCAGCAGTGTGTGTGTGTGCCTGTGAGCATGGTGGGCTGCTGGGGAGAGCCTGTTCCAGCTTGTGCTGTCTCATCAGGCAGCGAGGCACCCAGGGAGCCCTGCAGGATGCATGGCAAAGGCAGTGGCTGTGCTGGCTGGGGAAAGCTGGGCTGGGGAGTGGGTCAGGCCTTGGGTCAGGGACAGCCTGGGCCAAGGGACTGGGGGGAGTGAATGTGTTGTGTGTGTTGTGTGCTGGGAGCAAGGGGGGACAGACTGCTGAGAGGGGAGGGGGTTTGGTGTGGCAGGGGGGGCACAGTGCCCATTCAGGGCTGAGGATGGGGTCAGGCTGGGGACAATGTGATACTCCGGAGGTTTGGGGGTGGTAGCAAGACGCTGGTGAGTTGTTTGGGATGGCTCTTTGTGTGTATCACAATCTGGTCCCACAGCTGTGCTCTGCCCTGGTGGGGGGCCTCCCCCAAATCCCTGTTGACTCCATTGTCCTCTCAGCCCCCTTTCCTGTCCCTCCCTGGTAGTGCTGTCACAGGTGAAAGCTTTTTGTGGGTGATACTGTTCTGAGGGGTAGTCCTTCTTTGTGCCTTTGGCTTAGAGTTGTAGTTTGGGTGTTGCTTTTTGACCTTTTCACTGGGGCACTGCAGCTCAGAAATACCAAGATGTCATGTTTCTGCCGTGCATCCAGGAACTATCACTTTGTTCACCCATATTTTATGTAAAGGAAGAGAGTGGGAGATGAAATACTTCACTTTGATTTCAGCAAAACATTTGGGCTCTAGCAAAAATTAGGGACTGTGCAACAGAATCGAGTTCTTCCACCACATCTTTTCTCATTTTAGTTGCTGAACGTGATCTGAGTGCTCCTGGCCTTGGCAGGATGATCCCATCCCTGGCCAGGCTTCACTCTGGGAGGAGGCTTGGTCACCTTAGGCTGGCTGTGTTGCTGTGGGGACACCAAAACCATGCCCAGAGATGCTGCTTTGTCCAAAGCCCTGTTGGCAGGCACGAGGGCATGCTCACAGCTCTGGTGCTGCTGGGGGTTGAGACCTCATTCCTTTACTGCAAGGGGACTCTCTGTCCTCCAGGAGTGGGAGCAGGGCCAAAATTGGGCAGTTCTCATTTTCTGTGCCTCTGGCAAGAGAAATGATGGCTCTGTGGGCACAGAAGGGAACTGTGCCTGTGTCCTAAACGGGCACTGAGAAAGGAGGAAACTTGTGTGAGTGCCTGAGTGGCAGGGGAGGTGTGGCATTCACACGCTCTGAACAGAGAGAGACATTATCCTCTCACAGGATTTTTCCTGGAGAAACACAGAGAGAAAAAGAGAAAACAATTCTTATCTCTATTCTCTGCTCCTGTTGTTTTTACACATGTAAAATGTTTTAAGAAAATGGTTGACCTAAAGAGAATTAGTAATTAAATTCTACTAAAGATTATTTTATTTCCTTAACCAATTTAAAAAAAAACCCTGTACCTGACTGTCTAGAGACAGTAACAAGATTTCCTTTAATATATATCTTTTATATAGAATATAATATAATATAATATAATATAATATAATATAATATAATATAATATAATATAATATAATATAATATTTTAATTAAACAATTATTCAACCTTCTAAATCAATAGAATTAAATACCAATAATTTCCTTGCATCAGGGGCTCCCTAAATACTATAGGGAAGAGCTGGAAATAGGACTTACATCTTACAGCATGCTCAGACACATCCTTCCTGCTAGGCCAGCACGTGCCAGAGCAAGTGCGCAGCATAGGGAGAGTCTTCCTTACTTCAGTTCTCTGGAGAGGGACTGTCACCATGACATTTTCTAAAAAATCCCTTTGCCAGGATTTCTTCTCCTGGGAAGATGAGAAGCCTCAGCTTCTCCATGTTTTGCTCCTCTGGAATGTGGTCTGGAGATTGTTTATGCAAATATGTGAATTGTTTTTAATTAATGGCCAATCACAGCCAGCTGTGTCAGACTCTCTGAGTCAGTCATGGATTTTTATTATTCATTCTTGTCTAGCCTTCTGATGTATCCTTTCTCTTTCTTTAGTATAGTATAGTATAATATAGTATAAGATAATATAGTATAGAATAATATAGTATAAGATAATATAGTATAATAGAATATAGTATAATAGAATACAGTATAATAGAATATAGTATAATATTATGTTATGTTATGTTATATAATATTCAGCCTTCCGAGTCAAATTCTCCTCTCTCACCTCATCCTGAGGACCTCACAACACACAGAATGGGTGCCCCCCAGCAGGGTGGCATGTGCAGGTGGCTCTGACCTGTGCAGGACAAACGATCCAGGGAATCAGGTTTCTGCAGTGCCTGCCTGTATTTATACCCAGCTGCACCTGGCTGCCCTCACTCAGGGCTCAGGGTATGTGACAGGGTCGGGTCGTTCCAGTTCCTCTGCGTTATTATGGTCTGCAGGGCCATGCAGGCTGCCAAGGGGAGATTAGCTGTGGCTCTCTGGTGTGCGGGTACCTGGGTGTGGTATTTTCTGGGACCCCGTTGTTGGAAGGAATGATGCATCTGATTCCATGTTCTTAGAAGGCTAATTTATTGTTTTATGATACTATCTTATACAAAAGAATACTAAACTATACTAAAGAATACAGAAATGATACAGACAGAAGGCTAAGAAGATAATAATGAAAAACTTGTGACTCTCTTCAGAGTCTGACACAGCTTGGCCCCAGTTTCCCAATGAGTCAAAACAATTCACAGAAGAAACCAATCTCCAACCACATTCCAAAGTAGCAAAACACAGGAGAAGCAAATGAGATAATATTGCTTTCCTTTTTCTCTGGGGCTTCTCAGCTTCCCAGGAGAGAAATCCTGGGCAAAGGGATTTTTCCAGAAAATCTGACTGCCACACCTGGGCTGTTGGTTCTGTGTGGCAGTATGGGTTCCTGTTCCCTGGGCACATCACTGCTGTGTGGCTGCTGCTGTCAGAGCACAAAGCTGAGCCACAGGGGTGGGCTGGGGTCTTTCTCAAGCAGTTGAAGGGTGGGGGAGCATCACTCCACTCAGCCCAGGTTGGGTGAAAGGCTGACTTGAGGCAGAGGGTGTTTTGTGCTGAAATTTGCTCACATCTCAAGAAGTATGTTTATTAGAACGAGGGAATTGAATGTTCTGCAGCTCACTGGGTGTTGTGTGCAAGGCAGTCCAACAGCCTGATGGTTGTTGGGATGTGTCTCACTTTGTGACACCACCCTGGTATTTCAGGTCATTCTGTAGCCAGGAGAACCTCAAGGCAGATGGGGGACGATTCTGGTAACCCTGGAGGACCACAAGGCTGAAAGACACAGAGGCCTAATTCCTGCTGCAAGGCAGATTTGGGGACCCCTGGATGCTGTGTGGTGGGAGCATGCTGGACAGAAAGAAGTCAGATTGCAAGACAAGAAGATGAGGAGGATGCTGAGGCTCTGTGGCAGGAGGCAGAGACACTGTCCCCAGTTATCCACACGTCTGGTTTTGGTTCCCACTGCATTTCTGCCTCATAACTGTGCCAGAATCACAGGCAGCCAGTGGATTTCAGCTCCAGTTACAGGAGCTCCAGTGGAGGTCACCCTTCAAGGAGGGCTTGTCTTACCCTGCCCAAGCAGGCAGGGAAGCTCCAGGCCCTGGGCTCTGCCTCATTACTTGGACACAAAGGGGAACAGCTTTCCCAGCTGAGTTCAGTTTTTAAAGTGTCATCAGGCTGATGGATAGAAAGGTTCAGAAAAGGAAACAAAGCCTGTGATGGGCACAGGACACACTGACAGCACTCAGGCTGCTGTGGATAGCATGGTGCCCCTTGGTCTGTAATCCTGAGCTGCACAGTGGTGTGGCCACCAGAGCCCAAGGCAGCCCTCAAGGGAGAATGCTGGGGGAAACAGAGAGTGGGGATCCTTCTTTCTTTCTTGGTTTCTATGGTAGAAAATTCTTTCAGGGGTAAACATGGATCCTCTTATCAAACTTCCCTCTGGCTCACAGGAGTCACTGTGAAACCTCTTCCACAGGTTCAGTGCCTATATTCTGCAAAAGGCTCCTGGTCCTTCGGGGTGGTTCACTGAAGGATGAGGAGGGGGAAACTTCCAGCTCTCCCTTCCCTTTGTCCTGTGGCAAAGCCAACCCCAGTGTCCTGCAGCCCTGAGGATGTGCTGAGGCTGAGCTCTGGCTGCTCTCTCTGTGCTCTGCCCCCATGGTGGAGTTGGTTCTCCTTTGAAAGTGGGCAGGCATTACCTTAAATATTTGTTTTTGGTGTGCTGAAGGCTGTGTTTTTGGTAAACAGTCGGTCCTTGATGGGTTTGCCTACTTCCTTTTACAGGTTTTAATCTTTCTTAATGGACACTCCTCTGTCAGGTTGACAAGATATTTAATACTCTGCTTGTTTGATTTGTTGTATATTGGTGATTTGTTAATAATGTACAGATGTAAGCTTGCTTCATAGAGGGAGGACCCTGGTTACTCATTCTAGCATTAATTCTCCTATTTAAATGTAGGTTAGCCTGTTAATGGGGAGGGAGTCATAAAGTTCTTATATTTTTGTAGTGTAGAGCTCTAACACACTCTTTGTTGATGGCTGCTTGAGGGCCACAGTATAATTGGGAAATCAAGATTTATCTGCTCGTAGAGATTGTATTCATTTTTAAAAGAGCTGTACCCCCTTTAAATAACCCTAAATACAACAGGACAGGGGTGGGGTTATTCTGCTTTTTCTTTCCTGTCTGCACTCCTTAACACTTCCTCTTAGACCCTTCGAGATCATCATCCTCCTCACCATCTTTGCCAACTGTGTTGCTCTGGCCATCTACCTGCCCATGCCCGAGGATGACACCAACATTGCCAACTCCAGCCTGGTAAGGGGCCCCTGGAGCCCTTCCTGCAGCCCTGAGGGCTCTCTGGGGCTGGTGGCTTGGGGTGACACAGCTGCAAGGTGGCACGAGCTGCTCTGGGGCCATCTGCTGCCCCAGGGGGACTCAGGCAGTGCTGGTCCAGCCAAAGCTGCTGCAGTCAATGGGAGGCAGGGGTGGGGAGAAGTGACTGCAAAATGGGTTTTCAGAGGGGCTGAAAGCACCTCTGGGTCGAGATCAAAGGCAGCAGGTTGTGTGTGGAGTAGACATGAAGGAAGAATTGATGCTAATGAAAGAAAAAATTTCCTGACTTTTTTTATCACACTTTCAAAAAGAAACATCCTGTTCCAGAAAGGCTCAAGTGGTTTGTTTGCAGCATTTTGGAATAAATTTTTCTGACATTTCCTTTCAAAACTCTATTTTAATTTTGTTATCTTTTATTTAAGAGGGGAAAAACGCTGCTTCTGCTAGCCAGAAAGGTTACTCCTTCCCAATCATTATTCCATATTCTTCCACAGTTGCTCCAGTTTTCCTGGAATATGATGTTTTGATGTGTCCCAGATCAACAATTTACACTATTTTTAGATTGCCACACCTTTCTACTCTTCAGATCCCTGCTGTGATTCAATCCACATTGATTTCCATTGAGAGACTGAGTATAATGACTGAATTAAGACATCTAAATCCCCTTTTTAATGAAATGGGGTTCCAGGACTCTTCAGGGTGAGGAGGGTTAGGTCCTGGGGTGTTCCTTCAGCCTCCTGGCTGGTCTGACCAGCCTCCCTGACCCCTTGGGCTGGTTTGGGGGCACAGCAGCTCTGGGAGGTGCAGTTACCCCAGGGGAGAGGAAAAAGGGGCAAAGCAGGGCTGACCATGGGGACAGAGGGGATGGAAATTCCCTCTGGGAGAGGGCTTGGGATGAGGCTGAGCCCTGTGGGGCAGAGCTGGGGCAAGCCCAGATGTGTGTGGGGATAAGAGGTGTGTGGGTGATCAGAGGGGCTGATGCTGCCCCAGAAGCTTTCCCATGAGCAAGGACCAAGTGGTGTAAATTCACTGCATAAATGAAATTCCATCTATTTTTATTTCTTGTCCATTAGATTATTTATGCTATAGCCTGCTGGGGGATGTTTCAGCCTGTTGCCACAGCAATAGGTGTCAAGAGCCAGGTAGCCCCAGGCCGCTGCTCTTTCATTCCTGCTTGCTGTCCCTTTGTCACCATGTTCTGGTGGCTCTGTAGGAACAAAGCCAGCTGAGAATTTAGCCAGACACCATCACCAGGGGCATCAGGCTATGCTCAGCACAGGCCTGCTGCTGGAACCCTGGATGATGAGAATTTCAGATTTTCAGAATTTCAGACTTTCTGTGCTGACAGGCACTGACCCCCCAAGAGAGCACTGCATTGACCTGAGGCCGTGGAGAAGCTTCCAAAATGGAATGATAGAACTGGGATGGTGGGTGTGGAGTTTGAATAGAAGTGTGTGATATCACAGGGTGGGAAACGTAGAGTTTAAGGTTTTAGAATATAGTAATATAGATAAAGCAAGATGGAGGTTTTAGGGCTAAAAGATAAAATTCTAAGGCATCACAAGGAGTCTCAGGAGGGGAGGATTCCTAGGGGAGCCCTGCTGCCACTGCCTTCCTGCAAGACTGGAAAACTGCAGAGCAACCACACTGAGTTTCCAGGCAGGGAAGAGTTGCAGTCAGAGTCTACACTAGGTAAACTTAGAATTAGTCTCATGAAAGCTTGGTTAATCAGAACTCATTTATGGAGGGGTGAAAAAATGAAATACCATAAAAATGAAAATAATGAAATAATCATAACCATATTATTTTCTAAGAATCCATTTTGCTCTGTCCTGGTAGAAGTACAGTTGTTTCATTTTAACACATTTCATTATTACTCTTTCTATATTAGATTTCTTTTGATCCAGAAGGGTTTTTAAAATCCTGTTTGTATCTGATTTTGTCTTTTTCTAATGGAATCACAACATTTTCTTCAACCCTGATGAAATTATTTTGACTTTTCAACTTGTTCAATAATTCACAGCATTTATTTTCACTTTTACTTGAGTTTCCAGAGTTTCAAATCCCACTGTTTTTCACTGGAAATCTTACTCCAGGAGCAAGCAAATTCAGAATGTGTTTAACAAGGCAGGTTATTCACAGGGATTCACCCAAAAAAATACAGATGGCTGTGTGTGACCTGGCTGCCCAACCTCTGTTTGTGAGCAGTGAGGAAATAAAGTCAAATTTAGAGTACAGTTCATCTCCCAGGGCAGCTGAGCCATTTCTGCAGCTCCAGTGGGTGATGTTTGACATGCTGCACACACTGAAATACCTACTTTTCATAGAAGCATAGAATTGTAACATGATTTGGGTGAGGAGGCTCATTCTACCCCCTCTCATGGCCAGGGACATCTTCCTAATATTTAAATGTACTTTTTGTCAATTTAAAGCCAACTCTCTTTTCAGTTTTAGTGGGACTCAAGGGTGACAGCTTGGAGGGAGCCCACCCTGTCAGACCACCCAAAAGCAGCTGTCCTCAGCCCTATGGGCTTTTTAGGAATTTCAGGTAGGACATGGAAGTCCTAGGGAATGGGGGACAGAGCTGGAGCTCAAACTGTCAAGAAGAGAATTTAAGTAGCACAGATGTGCTACTTATTTAAGTATTTAATTTAAGTAGCCCTGTGCGCAAGCACGCTGCTGGTGTCACACACTGAGGTACTTTTGGGGTCCCCTATGGTGGGAAGGAAATGATGAATCTGATTCCATGTTCTTAGAAGGCTAATTTATTATTTTATGTGCTTATATTATATTAAAGAATGCTATACTACAACTATACTAAAGAATAGAAAAATGATGCTTACAGAAGGCTTAACAAGATACTAAATAAAACTTGTGACTGCTTCCAGAGTCCCAACACAGCTGATGGTGATTGGTCATTAAGTAAAAACAATTTACATGAAACCAATCAAACAACAATCTGTGGGATAAACAATCTCTAACCACATTCCAAAGCAGCAAAACACAGCAGAAGCAATCAGATCATTATTGTTTTCATTTTTCTCTGAGGCTTCTCAGCTTCCCAGGAGAAGAAATCCTGGCAAAAGGATTTTTCCACAGAATATGACAGTGGCACACATAATGGCTTTAGGGATTTTAGGTAGCATGAATGTTTGATGGCAAAGAGTGTTCTTCTGAAAACCCCCTTTTGGGTTGTATCTCAGCCCGGGGTTGGGGAATTTGTGTGTTTCCAAAGCCTCAGGTACAATTCAGTGACAGGAATGTGGGTGTGTGATGCAGTTGTAGGGAGTCCCAGCTGTAATTACCTGTAATTAGCTGTGAGTGCAGTGTGATGTCTGTCACCCAGGGCTGTGCTATCTCAGGAGCACTTGAGCAGCTGTTTTTGGGCAGCTGAGTGCTGTCCCACAGTCCCTGAGAGGGTTTGCTGTCCATTGCTGGTTTTCAGGAGTTACTGGGCTTTGTGCCTGGAGCTTGGCATGGAGCAGAGTCGTGAGTGCATGTGGCTTTCCTAGAGCTTGGGGTCACCCTGGATCTCCTGGAGTCTTCCAGGAGCTGTGGCAATGGACAACACTCCTGCATATCTGCATGCACAGACTCGATAAAACTGCAGGAACTGCTACTGCTCTGGTACTGGCACCTGGAAAAGTGCACATGCAGCTGTGTGAGATACCCCTGCCTGCCTGTCTTGGTTTGAAAAGCCAGATGTCTGCTAAGGAAGGCAGGAGCCTTCCTTGAAATGGAAAATGCAAACCACTCCCCTCTGAATTATTATAATTTTGAAATTAAGAGGCTCTTAGGCAAAGATATGGGAATAGGAATAACAGTTCTTTAATAGGAAAATTAAAAATACAAATCTAATAGTAAAAAAAAGAAAATTAAGCACTCCCAGAGTGAAAACAGTCCCTGCCCCGCTGTGTGTCAGGGAGGTGTCCCAGCCCCATCCCATGGGGGCTCAGCCCTCCTGCAGTGCCAGCTGTGGCTCTGCTGCAGCAGGGATCCTGCACAAGGGGGGAGTTTTCCTCTGCAGCTCCAGGGCTGCTGCAGATGGGCCTGGGCTCCCTCTGGCCATGCAGGGCAGCA